CGCTGGTGGGCATGACGATTTGCCTAACGAAAAAAATTTATGAGGAAGGGATGCCGGTTGCTGCTCCGTTAAGACAGAAGAATGCTGTCGGCATGTGGATAATGAAAAGGAAAAGGAATCGACTGCGGTTGTGAATGCCAATGCACACTAATACAGTAATTGATTTAATTGTGGGTCAGTAAGTACAACTGACTACAAATGTGATCGTCCCACCCGTTATGTGGTTGAGCACACAGATATGAAGGAATCAACAGAATTTATTGATTGCGGTACTGATACTCCCTTTCTGGATGCGAATGAGTTTGTCGAGCGTACTACAATTCATGATAGAAATATAACATGCGAATATGCTGGTCCACGTAAACATCCCAAAGAGACCAGCCCCCAATGCAATCCCCATAATATAATGAGGCACAGCAGCACCAAGTAAGTGCATCAATGAATTGTGGATGCAACAACTAGTTGTTAACTTACCAGATCAGACGTTCTTTTGGTACCTTAGCCAACGATGGACGAGCCGGTGCAGCTCCAGGAAGTCATGGGAATGGTCATCTCCTTGTACGAAAGCATCCCTCAGATAAAGAACAGTTTGACGGAAGCACCATTACTTGCTTTACCAGATGATACGAAGCCGTAATGCGTGGTGTGTGACGATTCTGAGTTTGCAATCATTGTGCATTATTGCAAAAGGACTCAGAAGGACACGATGGTGTCGTGTCGTTTTAATCGCGACTGCTGGGGCCAGCAGAAAGAATTACCCAGTCTAACCCAAGGAACTTTTGGCGATGAAGTTTGTTCTAAAGGAGTTTCTTGTTCACGGCTTCAGTTCGATCCCGTTTGTCGTCTACACGGATCAAGCAAGCTTGTGCTATGCTGTTTATTTGCCTCAAATAGCTCGCTGGTTGTCATTCTCCGCCGAATACAAGTTCACGGTCTTTTACAAGCCTAAGAAACTGTGTGTGCTGGCAGACGCATTGTCACGTTGCCCTGATATGAGCAAGCTAATCTAAGATCACCGACCTTACGTTCTATACCAGAATCAGTACGAGTATATCATGTACCTTAACCAAGGCCAATATAATCTTCCGTTTGAAATTGAAACTATTTGTTTGATTTGAGGCAGAGCCGCCTATATTTAAAACCTTAGGTCTCCCCTAATCCATATAGTAATACCCAGTTAACATAGCAAAACATATTATATAGTAATATGCATTACTCCTGTCACGTGGTGGCTCCTCACTTTTTACGGTGTAGCCACATTACTGTATGATTACACTAAGTTGTGTAATACACACCTTTGTACAGTCACCTCAACTTGTGTGACCCACCCCTGTACGTGTAACCTATTTACACTCTAGTTACATGTAATTCCGTTACACTCTCCCCTGACAAAATTGCGAATCCCCACAACTCAGATTTAGCTGTTGCCTCGAACGAGACTCGCGTGTCTGAGACACTGTTACGTCTTTGACACAATCTCCGCTGAATTAGCACTGTGTCTATGACACGCAAAACACCCAACCTAGCTGGTTCTGAGGGCGCCCGCGGGCAGATCCCTTCTTTTGCAAACAGTACGTCCGCGGCTCCACGGGAAGCACATCCTGAGCCCTCAGCAACCGAGCGCCACACAGGCGACGAATTTTCTCGTCGAGGAATCGGATGAAGTCGACTTCGGTCCGAATACTCTTTTTCTAGAATGGGCATGAGAGCCACCGTGTAGGCAGCCTTCAACTGCTGCTCCTGTGCCTTGTCAAGGCGATTGGTAGTAATACACCTTCCTCCAAAAGTAGAGAGGTTGGGGAACGGACACGGTGTTCGCAAGGTTCGAGCAAGGCTCACGCCGCGGCGTTGGTGCGCCTCGCCCTCCTCGTTCGGTACTAAATCCTAGTGTGGAATTCGGCTTCCGCTCGGCGAATTCCGCTACTGAAGCTAAAGATGCGATTATTCGGTCGTTGGGCGTCTACGTAGTCGGGCTCCTAGCCCCTACACATGCTAAGCTTGATCAGCGGAAAACTCAGCAAGCTCGCTTCTTGGTACCTCAAGAAATCAGAATGGATAGAAACCGCGGTCAACTTCAAGCTCAAAGAGGAGGCTCTTTTATACCCGCAATGCGGTGTGGTTCTTGCCCCTGTCAAAACCGATGCAGATGATGAGGAGCTCTTTAAGCGATGGGAGTAGCGGCACCGGTAACTTTCCCGGCTGTCATACTTACAGTGGAGCCAAAAGGAAGCGGACGCGCACGTAGAACGCCATCTTAAATTTTGTTCGAAAAAAATTAAGGCGCAACGCCGACTTCCTGCTTTTTGTCGTCCTGCGACACATGGAAGCATTCATCACGCTCCCGCGAGCTCTTCACGGGTGGGTCCACAGCCGCAGCAGCTGAGGCTCATAGCTTGAGATCAGCTTATGGCCCTCCAGATTTACCGGCTTACGCTGTGCGCACGACGACGCGATGCGTCATGATATTTCTGATCATAAGAATCTACGACTTATGGGTAGTCTTGCCGTAGTGGCACCTCAACTCCCACGAGTTCTCGAAGTTTGGGTATCCTCGCCGCGTATATGCAATCCCGGCTTGCATATACGCTCCGTGCTCAAGTGGACGGAGCTCTTCGGGGATGGACCCTGTTGTTCTCTCCCTCTTTGGAGCGCAACATAACTCAGTTCTTCTTCAGTAGGGCGCTCCACGCCATCTGGGCTTTGTCGTTTTCCCGCGTCTAACAAGACTGATTAGAATCGGGACGTCGGTTCGATTAACCTTGACGCGCCTTGCGCAGGGGACAACCAGTCGGAAGGTGACGAGTGTCTCTCCACAGACGAAACACCGTCGGGTGTTTGAACGCTACTCAGCAGCTCGAAGTTCTGCCTCCTCCTTCTCAACATAGCTGAGATCCATTGGCTTAGATCTGTTCGACGAGCTCTGACGTTGTTCATTCCAACCAAGTCGTGTCGACTTGAAGTTGAATTCGACATTCAGTGCCACGCTCTGCTTATTCAAAAGAAGGCGGATGCACACGGAATACTTCCATTCTAGCCACGCCAGTGGGAAGGCCTTTCATAAAGACGGTCAGTGTGACCGCCTCGGAAAGAGCAATTACTGCCATCCCGGCAATAAATCTACGCAGCACTTGGAGGATTTCTACCAATTTCTTCTTGCCCTGTCAGGCAGCAAGGAACGCGATCGCACGCGATATTCCTTACTTGGTTTCGACAACACTCGCAAAATCTGAGGCTTCAGCTCCTTCCAGGAGGGGAACGCAGCTTCGACCGAAGCGTCGCACGTTAGTCCCATTCACGCGCATGGTCCCTGGGCTTGTAGAAAGCTAGCGCCACGCGCTGTTGCTCGTTTTGGACCATGGCGGATACTATAGCCATCGCAGGGAAATCTCTCCATTCTTACCTTCAAAGCTCTTAATGCTCAACACGAACAGCCTGGATTGAAAGAAATCATCCTTCAAAGCTGACGGCTTCTGCTGTAAGTGATTTAACAGAGCATTTTCATAAACTGAAAACTTCTCTAGGTGCGCGCTTATGGCCTCGGGCCCCTGTGCAACGAAGTGCTTCAAGCCCTCGGGCCCAGCAAGGACACCAGCTTGTTAAGCCCGTCTCGAATGCCCTGGGACAAATATGAGTTTTCCTCGATCCTCACAGAGGATCCGTCGCAACGACTCAGGCGTAGATTGACCAACAAGTGCTACCAATTGCAGCGGAACTGCTGTAGCTCTATGCTTAGAGGAAGCAAAGTAGGTCACCGACCTTACATTCTTTTCAAGAACAAGTACGAGAGTAGCGGATCGCATTCCGCTACTTCCAAGAACTAAAAACCATACAAAGCAAACGAACACTTCGGCTCAAAATCGAAACGGTATTTAATTGTTTTAGCTGCGGCAATATAAAAAACCTTAGGTTTTCCTAATTAATATAGTAATATGCATTACTACTGGCATTCCTGCCACGTGCTGGCTTCTTGTTACAATGAAGCCACAGCACCTCGTGATTACACCTTTCTTGTGCAATACACACATATGTACGATCGCACAATCTTGTGCGAGCCGCCCTTCCATACAAGGGTGCGTGTCACTCCGTTACAACACATGTGGATAAAAATTACCAAAGCAAATGCTCACGACATAATGTATTGAGGCAATCGCTGAAAGATTAAGTAGCCTGCGTATACATCTGCACATGCACATTCACATTGCATGCTGCCAACTCCGTTAAGTTAAGCCGTCACTGATGTCTCCACTATTGCGCAAAACTGTGCGCGGTTACAGTTTCTTACACGTTACAGTGGGGAGACGGCCCATAAATAAGAAAAAATTGCTCATAGGGGATGGTTTTTAAGCAAAAATCATATTTTGTCAGCTAATAAAGTGTCTGCAACTAAAGCTGAGTCTACTAGTACATTGCAATATCTGACATTTGCACTTGGCATAGGCTCCCATCCCATTAATGAATCACGGAATACACTGTACGATGTGTTCCGTACCATTTGTTCTGGCAAGGGCCTCGCGAACTTTCTTGAAGCTCTATTTGTACAGTAGTCACCAAAGCCATTCTTTTCAGCATTAAGAAATCTAGATTGTATGGCTACAACACATAACGCGGTGTGCATGTGCGTTATCGATCTTAACGCGCATTATGTAGCTCGCTACGCCCACCCCCCATTAAGAATTATATATATAATGGCAGGGATAACATCCCCTTCGCTTGACTAACAAACTTTTTACCACATCTATCAACTGTGATGTTTTGAAAAAGGCAGCTAGTAACACGCAGAACATTAATTCCAGAAGATTGGAATATGACTGACTAAGCCAAGGTGCCTTACGTTGGAAAGAGCGCCGCCACATAGACCGCTAAGATCCACCAAATATCTTGGTTGAGGACACCAGCTTTGGAGATCAACAACCGAAAGCTTTTGGCACAAGGAAGGCTCAAAGGACTTCTATATTATGTTATATATTATATATAACTGTTCGTCTCGCTGGAAACAAGATTCATTCCCCATCTCCACCAATTAATTTTATACTACTGGTTGGCGAAACTGAGGAGGATCGTATTATCTCTAGAAAAGGCACATCGTCCATAACAACGACAACAAGGACCCACTCCACATTATAGACCCCGGTGTATGAATCACATGGAATCCCTAACAGAAAGCAAGATACTAGTCCCAGGATGCACGTTCCAGCAAAACGAACGCTTCCAAAGCCACGCCGCCCCCGGTGATAGAGAGGTCCGTAGTGTTCAGCAGTGCAATTAGAGATCTCGCCATCTAAAGCGCTTTATTCTTCAAGTGAATACTCACGACCTCGATGAGCAGCAGGCCACTGGGGTATTCCTTGATCATATATTGCATTACATTGCTGAATTCGTCCGACACCTACGACTTAGACACATTTGGTTGTAACGAGGTCTTTGGAGACGGTTTCCACAGCAGGAGGGTGCCTACTAATTGATTGGACTCATTTTTGGCGACTAGGTCGTTTGCAACAGCGATGTTATTGAGCACGATAGTCAAAAACAATATTAATAGATCAAACATTTCAATAAGTTTCAAAATGTTTCCAAACGGCCCACTTCAATCTATTTTTTCGCTCAAAACACTACCTGTAATTATTATCGATGCCCCACCTTCTAGACTCTGGCGTCTTTGTCTGCGTACCAAAAGAGTTTCAAATTGACTTTTTTAAGCCTGGCGAATTCTGTCATAGTGATTTGTCGCGACCCGGCACATGAGCGATTATTAATAGTTAGGCTGTCGCAATTAAGTTAAGGAAAGCACTATCAGCTTTCCATATTTCAAGTCAACACAAAATTGTATTTCGCAAAAGTCGACAGCCAGCTGCTTATTTATATCGGTAAATGCGATGCATGGACGCTTGTTCTCAAAGACGCTGGTCTATACAGACCACAAAGCGATTAGAGCCATTTGAAACTTCACGAATGCAGTATCCAACGCGAGGCACTTTTTGTTATTGTTAAAGTAGCTCCTGGCAGCCATATACTGTCTGGACAGGAGCGAAATCACTAATTTTCATTCCTCATTTCCAGGTAGCATTAATCCGTAACCAACAACAAATTTCACGGAGCGCTACAATATATCGTCCAGTAAAATACGGACAGGCAGTTGCTGAAATATTGCCACAAGACTCTAAAAGCATTTTAGTTATGTGATCCCGACGCCGATGCACGTCTTTTCTAAAGATTCCCAAGCCATACATACCCAAAAGTATTTGTGCAGGTAATTGGCTCATTTCAACCAAGGTTTGTTACCGGGGTACAGGTCATGAGCATTGACCCTAACCTTCGCGTGGTATACAACGACCCCCTTGTTACCCGCGAAGGCTCGAGGACTTTAATTTATTCTAGCCAAAAATGCACTTGTATATAGCTAATTCATTCTCATGATTTAAAAAATCGGCATAGATTCTTCAACTGCGTCGCAACAGCCAGCTGTTTACTTTTGTTCGACTGACAAACGGACGGATCGTCAAAGAACATTTGTGAGCGTACGTAAGGTTCTGAACAATCATGTGGTCGGGCTATTCTTCGAAGTTGGCGGGTGCTGAAAGTATTCCGTGGTATCGCTAGCCACAACCAAATTGTACCGCTTGGGGTTCATACTACTATGAGTGGGACTTCCGACTTTGACGTCCAAACGTGGTAACATTTACCTACCGTATCATGCACACTGGTCTTAATGCAACAGACATGCGCTTTAGCATCACAGCTTCTTGTATATCGCTGTCTATGCCGACACGGTGGTAATAATTTGCTTATTTTGAGCACGTTATCACTTTTGTTTCTAGTTTTGAGCATAGAACATCGGGGAAACTCGAATCGCACCGCTAAATTCTTGCTTTCTCGGCGAAGAAGATCATACTGCTCGCGTGAAAAAAGATATTGACTCGCGACACTATAATTTGTACGAAGCCTTTCCATGTGGTAGGAGCTGTGACTATGGACTACGTTTGAACAATCCATCCAACCAGATCATACAAATACTAGAGTTACCTCGGGCCAAGAAGTGCCACTCGCTAATTGCAAAAGTATTCGCGGTCGTCCTCGAACCTTACAAATTGTAACAGGATTCGCCCGTCCATGTACACATACTCAATGAGGAAGGCTTAGCTCAACTTACACGCCTCACCGCGTGTTCCTCGCTTCCAGCAGGCTATTTAGTTACGTAATGAGGAGGAAAGGTGAAATGACATTTACTATTATAGCCATTAGGCTTTTAGCCTTCCAGACCTAAGAAGTGCCTCCAGTTCTGATACAACATAAATGAAAGATGATATACAACAATACAGGGTGTACATCTAATGTGACACGCACAAAGTATGTGGTCCACATAACATGTGTAACGGGACCTAGCCCATGAGACCATTCCTCACTCAAAAGTGGGTTCACCCAAATTCTTCTCTTCTTCAAATTCTTCTTCTGCTCTTTGTCACGCTCTGTCCAACTGACAACCCACATGCTTGCTCCTCATGAGATCTTCGTCACTACCGAACTTGGATAATATTTTAATACGACGTCACACAGCGTATTTGCGCTATCGCGAACATGATCGTCATGATGACTTTCACGATAGACCTGGTTATTCCACCCTAGTGCTCGACTGATGACTCCAATCGTGAGTTTTCGCGCCGTCGGACCAATCACTCATGCTAGAGGTGAACCACAAAGCCTCATGTATGCCTTATACGTCTAGCAATCCAATCTGGATTCCATCCAGACAATCAACACTTGATTACGGGCATGGGTCCATGCGACCAAATCCGTGGATATATACCGTTTGCTATGCGCGAGTACCGCTGCACTCTTGTTGAAGGACGCGATATGCGCTTCGATTTGTGCATTTGAGAGCGCATGATGGGGTTCACTCCAATATCGAGGATGCTCGTGAAGTATGCTCGGTCATCAGTCGAATTCAGGACGAGAGGGACAGAGAGAGAAGAGGAAGGGACAGCTTCCTCGACTGGTGGCCGTCTTCGTACCCGCATCGAACGCGAACGATATTGAGACAGTTGCCAAAATTACGAGTGCAAGGCTCCCACGCATTCTCGTTCGCTGGATACCCCAGCCATCTCACAAAGATCTCCTTCCGACCGCGGTCCTTCCTCTCCACTAACCATTCTTAACGTGGTAATATCGATTTCCCTGTCCATCTAGAAGAGAGTGAGATGCCCGGAGTGGGATCCCTCTGTTTCTTCTATGACTGATTAGTCTATGTCCACCTTGAAATTGTGTTTGACAAAGGTTAAGAAGATATTTTCCCCTGATGAACCAGCGTCTGATCAAGGTGACCGAATGGGTGTTGTCGACGCAGCAGCGCGTGAAGGGGAATCGACAAGTCGTTCGCGAACTTCGAGATTTGGCATGGCGTCATGGAACTCGCCTGGGAATGCAATCGAGAGTCGTAGCAAACGATTTAGGACACTGCAAGCTCTACCTCCTGCTGCGGCTGTTTCCGCTGGTCATGTGGGGTCTCCTGCGCTCTGTTCGGACGCTCCCGATTATTCTCGTCGTTTTGAGGACGATGCTGAGGCGATGACGCCAAGGTATTCGAATTTCGACCCTCGCGCCAAAGCCGCGGCTCTTAAGCCATCTTCGTATGCCCCTAGGTTACATCCAGGTTGGAAATCGCCTCGTCGTGATTGTAGGGATTGATGAGCCCAGCGTATAATACTGGATGTGTTCTAAGCCAGCTTGGTAGGTCGATAGTGCAAGCATTTTCAAGTCATGACACTACTCGGAATGGACTGATAAAGCGCGGTAATTAATAGCTTCGAGCTTCCCAAGCTTGAGATCGCATCATCTGATATATTCTTAGTACTACTTAGTGGGACAGTGTACTACTTAGTACTACTTAGTACTAAGTGTATTGAATTGTGGGGGGCAGTGTACTAAGTAGTACACTGTCCCCCACAATTTAATACATTTTGCCTTGACGAACTCGTCAATCTGTGTGTTTCTTTTGTAAATCTTGCGCGTTTGCCATTGCTTCTTGTACACGTGTGATCACATTCACACGATCATGATGAATGAAGTCTAAGGCGTCTTTTTACCTGCGCTTCACATTTGCATTATTGTTTGCATCAATTTGGGAGGCAACGATTTGCCGAACTCCTCTCCCACTTACATTAGAGACACCACTAATCGCACAAATCAGTACTTGCGGGTGTCGCAAGCCATTCATAATAAATGGCGTAGGTCCAGTGATGAATGAACTGAATTGTCCATGCATACTAAGCCAATGTTAACAACGAACTTCATTCCGCGGGATTTTCCGCACAGAATTCTCTCAAAACATCACCGTCCACTCGGTTGACACGTTCTGTTTGTCCATCGGTCTCCAGGTATACCTCTGTGAACATATCCAAGCGAATGCCAAGAATTCGAAATACTTTTCTATAAAAGCCACTCGTGGATCGTGTATCACGATCAGAGACGATGGCGCCTAGTGATCGTTTAAATCGTGGTCACTGAACTTTTTAGTCAGACCTCCGGCATCGACGGATTCGCTACACGGAGCGATGCGAACCATTGCTGAGTCTGTCAACAAAGACGAGCACCCCACTGTGACCATCCGTATTCTCGGGGGAAGCCAAAAGTAAATCAAGATCGACCAACTTCCAACAGTCAGTAGGAACAGAAAGAATCTGCCGTGGCATTCGCGTGTGTCGTGCGCTCTACACGCGCTGACAGACATCGCATGTCTCCACGTATCGTGCCACCTACTTGCACATGTAAAAACACCGAAATTGGGCACTGAGAGACTGGTCGGTCTTCTCACGGCCAACGTGACCGGCCGTCAGCTTGTTATACGCTTCCTGTACTTTAAATAATCGTTATGGGGGACGACAACCCGTGGCTTGTCGTCCTGTGCAGCTCCATCGTAAAGGAGGCCATTCTTTCATATATAACGATTTTATCTTGATTTCAAGCGACTAGGAAGCTTATCATGGAATTCCATATCATTTGATTACAGTACTCTGATGATCAGACTACACGACTCATTCTCAACAAACGCTCGACGTATCATATCGAATATGTAATGGGGTTACACGTACCCTGGTATGCAAGGGTGGGTCACACCATCTTGTGTGACCGTACAAAGGTGTAAATTACAGACAATGGTGTGGCTACACCGCTACAAGAAGTCACTACTTGGCGGGACTGCCATTGGTTATGCATATTTTTTACACAATTAAGCAAACCTAAAGTTTAAGATATAGGCGGCTCTGCCGCAAATGTAACCAATAGATA